GCTTTACCTGCTATGCCACAGAGCCAGCCCCCCCAGAGCTCTTTTAACAGACATAACTACATAAGTATATAGTGTTCTGAGTTTTAAAATATCTACTTTGCAAATGCTTTAACACTGAAAAAAACAAAGCCATTGAAACACACATGGAAGAGCGACTGCAGCCGGCCACTGCCAACACTCACCTCGCCTGATGCCTGCAGTCCACGCTTTTCTTTTTGTGCCAGGATTTACCCCCGAAACAGACGCAAATCCACACACACAGCTCAGCGCGCTGTGCTGGAGCCCGGCGTCAGCACCCACGAGGGACCCTGGGGTTCAGCACTCCGGGAACTGTTCCCTGAGGAGGGAGGGTCCTCGTATCTCAGCGCGCTGTGCTCAACATCCACAGGGAACCCTGGGGTTCGGCACTCAGGGAACTGTTCCCTGAGGAGGGAGGGGCTAGTACCTCAGCGCGCTGTGCAGGAGCCCGCCCACACCTCCAGGGGGACCCTAAGTTCAGAAGACCCCGGGAACTGTTCCCTGAGGAGGGAGGGTCCTCACAGCTCAGAGTGCTGTGGCGGAGCCCGCCCACGTCTCCACGGGGGGCCCTGGGTCCGCAGACCATGGGAACTGTTCCCTGAGGAGGGAGGGTCCTAGCACCTCAGCGCACCTAGCTTGAACCGCCCACGCATCCACGGGGGATCCTGGTGATGGGAAGACTCCGGGAACTGTTCCCTGAGGAGGGACTGTCCTAGCACCTCAGCGCGCTGTGCTGGAGCCTGCCCACGCCTACACAGGGACACTGGGAATTGGCAGACCTGGGAACTATTTTCTGTGGAGGAAGGGCATTATGGGTAAGTGCAATCTGGGAGAGGTTCACTTCAGATCAGAGGGCATCAGGGTGAGGGCATCTGGGTGAGGACAGCATCGTAGGGTGAGGTCATCTCTGTGCAGGGGGCATTGGCAAGGGCATCGCTGGTCAAATGTCACTTCCGGGCCAGGGGCATCTGGGTGAGGGTCATCTCTGGTGGTTGCTTCACTGGGTAAGGGTCACTTCCAGCCCGGGGCATCATGCGTTAAGGTCATTTCTGGGCCAGGGGAATTTTCAAGCGAGGTCATTTTCAGGCAAGGGCATCTGGGTGAGGGTCATTGCTGGAGGGGGCTTCCAGGCAAGGGCATCTTCGGGCAAGGGTCTCTTCTGAAGCAGGGTCATCTTCGGGCGAGGTCAATTTCAGGGATGGCATCTGGGTGAGGGACATTGCTGGGCGGGAGCACCCAGGCAGGGGCAAGAGTCACTTCTGGGGCAGGGGTATCATGGGTAAGGGCAGTCTGGGTGAGGTTCACTTTGGGCCGGGGGGCATCATGGGTGAGGGTATCTGGGTGAGGAGAGCATCTGTGTGAGGGTCATTGCTAGGCGGGGGCACCTGGGCAAGGGCATCTTGGGCAAGAGTCACTTGCGGACAGGCACTGCACAGGGCAGCCAGCAGTGGGCAGCCTCTGTGCTGTGCCGAGCATTCAGTGGGGTGAAGAGGCCTCTTCCAGGCTGGTCTCCTTACACTGCAACTCCAGGGGTACTGCCACGTGTGTGTGTGTGTGTGTGTGTGTGTATAATATGAGTTTTTATAGATATTTATAGATCAGGGCAGGAGCAGGACCACAGAGGGGCACAAATTTTCACCAATGTCACGCTTGGAGATGTGAGATCACCACACAACAGAAAGTCACAGATGAAGGGGAGGCTTTGGGGCTGAGGGGCCACTGTCAAATCACAGAACAGCTCTTTGGACAGACTGGCAAAGGGAGGTCTCTGAGGAAGAGGAAGGATCTGGTTAGAGGTTGAAGGGGAGCCTGGGACACTCTGGACAGGACAGACTTGCCTGACCCAATCGTCTGGCAGTGGGAGAGAAAGCAGAGAGAACAGCGGAGAGAGAGGAGTGAGACAGGTGGTAAGGCAAGAGCAGCCAGGCCACGGCACTGGTGGGCAGGGCGGAGGTGGGAAGCAGCAGCAGGTGGGCACGTGGGTGAACTTTCTGGAAAAGGCCACAGACAGGAAGGGGAAGGAAGATGGGAGGACGAGCTGGAGTGGGTGACCAGAGCTTCCGGTGAGTCAGGGTGGAGGCTGGAGAGGGCCTCCCTTGCCACTCACGCCACCTCTCACACACCAAAAGCCACAGTCCTGACACAAGCCTGGCCCTCTCAGACTTCCCTCCTCCCTGATGGCCCTGCCTTTGGACCCAATGGCCAGGGCCAGCACTAGCCTCGGGAGGCCCACGTGGCAGCCAGCAGGCCTGATGGAGAAAGACAGGAGGAAGAACCTTGCTTGAACCAGGAGTGCGCAGCTAAAACGGATGGCTGGAGGGGGTGCCAGAGGCCCCTCGGGTGCTCAAAAAGCCCAGCGTCCTCAGCGGGGACCCTGGGGAAGCAGGGCGGGCAGGCAGCCACAAACTCCCAAATCTAAGAGGGGAGCCTCGGCTGCTTGGGGGGCTGCAGGATGTGGAGGCGAGGCGGGGCCCTCCCTGCTGGGGAAAAGCAGAAGAGGGAGAGTCAGAGGCCAGCGAAGAGTGGCAGGTGGGGCCCTGGGCCAACTCTACGGTCCAGCCGGGCAGAGCTCAGAGTAGCTGACCTGCCCTGGCTACGGGGCTTCATCTGGGGCTGAGGACCCCACCTTCAGCCAGTAGCAGGTGTGACAATGCCCAGGAGGGAGGCAGGAGGCTGCGTGTCCCTGCCTCGCCTGGGCTGATGGGTGCAGAGGATTCTCAGGCTTTGAGGTCATCAAGCAACCGAAGGCTTCACCCCTGGCCACTCTCAACTGCACACCCAAGGGACAAGGTGACCTCCAGCCTGTCACCCTGGCCTGTGCTGGGGCTCCCAGGCCAGGGGGCAGGATACCCCCCTGCCCCCAGCAGCACAGCTCCGATTGGGGCAGGTGTGGCACATCCAGGAGGAAGTTCAAAGACCTCTGGCTGTCCCACAACTACACCCCCCAAGTTCCCAGCCCCTACACCATCAACCACAAGCTCCCTGACCTCTCTGACAGCTCAGAGGGCACCCACATCTGCCAGTGGTGTGGATCCTGTCCCAAGAACCCCTAGGCTCAGCCACGGAGGCCCTGGGCAGCTGCACTGAGTCCCGAGGCTGCCTGGGAAGGGAGAGGAGATAGTCAGCTGGCCCAAGGACAGAAACAGGAAAGAGGGAGTCTGGAGCTGCAGTAGGGAGAGGGAGGGGCCTGGCCCTGAGGTCCCAGGGGTGCCCCCCAGTGTGGGGCTGGTGCAGTGGGGCAGATGTGGTCCTGAGGCAGGCAGAGTGGCAGGTGCCTACCTTGGCTGACGCTCCTCAGGGGGCACTGAGAGGGATTCTGAAAGACAGCTCGGGAGCCTCCCAGAGTTTTGTCTGCCCAGGAAGACTGAAGAAGGCCCACCTGTGGGCTGTGGTTGGGGTGGGGGAGCGCTGGGGGTAGCCATGATGCCACTGTGTGGGGGGCACATAGACATCCTCCCCAAGTTGGGTGGGCTCAGAAGTCCTCATGGGATGGAAGGCATTGCCACCCACACGGAGTCGGGGGGTGCTGGCCCACTCACAGGTTGGGGGTCACTGGCACCCTCATGGGTCAGAGGACACTGACACCTTCACGGGGTTCGGGGGCGCTGGCACCCTCATGGGGTTGGTATCTGCAGCCATTCTCACAGTGTTGGGGAGCCCAGGCACACTCACGGGGTTGGCGGTGCTGGCACCCTCAAGGCTCGAAGGGCCCTGGCACCCTAATGGCGTCAGGGAGCACAGGCACTCTCACGGGTCAAGGGGCCCAGGCACCCTCAAGAGGTCGGGGGTGCAGCCACCCTCACAGGGTTGGGAGGCTCTGGAGGTGCAGCCACCCTCACAGGGTTGGGGTCTGCCGCAGCCAGCCTCATGGGGTTGGGGTCTGCAGCCACGCTCACGGCTTGGGGGCGCAGACATCCTCACGGGTTGGGGGGCACAGGCACCCTCACAGGATGGGGTCCACAACCATCTGCATGGGTCGCAGGGCCCAGGCATCCTCACAGGTCAGGGGCACAGACATCCTCACGGGTCGGGGGGTGCAGCCACCATGACGGGGTCGGGAGGTGCTGGCATCCTCATGGGGTCTGGGTCCGTAGCCCTGCTCACAGTTCGGGAGCGCAAACATCCTCACGGGTCGGGGGGCTCAGGCTCACTCATGGGGTTGGGCGGTGCAGGCACACACATGAGTCAAGGGGCGCAGACATCCTCATGGGTCAGGGGCACAGACATTCTCACGGGTCGGGGGGCACAGACACCCTCACGGGATGGGGTCCGCAACCATCCGCACAGGTCGGGGGGCGCAGGCTACTCACCGTGACCGGAAGGCCCCGCGGCAGCTGCGGCCGGGTCCTGTTCAGGCCTGGAGGGAAGCGTGGGAGAGGCTGAGGCCCCGGAGCTGCTCTGAGGGGAAAGGGGGCCCACGGGGGCGCGGGAGGAGGAGCCGCCGGGACCTGGGAGCGCCCGACTGGATCCAGCTGGGCGGGGTCAGCGTGGGGCCCCTCGAGGAAGGGCTGGGTGTGAGAGGGCAGTGTCTGGAGGGCGTGAAAGGGACCCCGAGGGGATTTCTGAAAGGAGAACGTCTGGGGCACATCTGGGAGGAGTCAGAAAGGGGTCGTGAACTGATGCAGTGTCCCCTGCTCTGCGCCCACCTCCTGAGCCCTGGGGTCCGAGGGCCCCGGTTCGGGGGCGCCTGTGGAGAAAGGGGGTCCAGGGCGTGGGCCGGAGAGCGGCCTCTGGGGTCCGCAGACTGACTAGAATTCTGTGACGGACGCCATGAGAGGGCTCCCAGAAAGCTGCGCACGCACCCAAGGGAAATCGCCCCGCCCCCAGAGTGGGAGGTGACAGAGCTGCACACGCAGCTCCCATTTTGACGCCTCGGACCACGCCCCTCTTTGTTTCGTCTTTCTCGCTGACCAATGGGCTTGAAGTGTGGCGACCACGCCCACCCAGCCCCGCCTAGTTCTGCCCTGAACCTGCCTCTCCTGGCTCAGTCACACACCTGCGCGGTAGCTGCCGAGAGCAATTCGCAGTGGTTGCCGGGATCGTGGTGATGTGCCCCACCCCGCCCCGCCCCCTCCCCGCCCCGCGATGTCGGAGGAAACCCGACAGAGCAAGCTGGCTGCGGCCAAGAAAAAGGTAAAACGTCGGGGTCGCGCCCCCCGGCCCAGCCCACTGCCGCTCTGACGACCGGTCCGTGGCCGGGGTCTGTGCGGCTCCTCAGACACTCTGGTCGAGCCCGAGTGCCCCTTGGCTTCCCCCACCCAAGTCCTCTCAGCCAGCACCACCCCCTCAGCACCCAGCCCCCGCCCTGGCTTGTAGCCCCTGGGTGACTTTGGGCCATTGGCTCCTGGGGCTCCTCGGCCCAGCCTCAGACCTCGCCTCCGGCCTCCCGAAGCCGGACCTCCTTGGGGTCTGTGGGCTCAGTCTCCAAAGACTCGGGTCCCTACCCTGCGCCCCACCTACCCCTGCACAGAGCGTGGGTAGGGCAGAGTGGGATGCACTGAGGGCAAATCCCCCTGGGGACTGGCATTACCTCCAGCTCGGGCTTTGATCTCCCGGCCCAGTCCCTTAAGTCCTCACCCCCTTTCTGCTTCCGCCTGCAAGGGGACTGGGGACTTGGGGACCTCCTTCCTCAGCTCGGACACTGACAGTGAGATGTGTCCCCTTCCCGGGGGAGCTGGAAGTGTGGGCAGTGTTTCTGGGTGACCGCGGGAAAACAGGTTTGGTTTTCCCCCAGGTTTCGACTCTCCAGAGACTTACTTTGGGGGGTGTGCGAGTTCTCAGGCTCCCATTCAATTTCCCTGACCCTGGGAGCAGAGTGCCCCACACTCAGGCTCTCTGGAGTGACAGCTGTGTGACCGTCTGTGGAACAGACCTTGGGAGACTAAACTTTATAGCCTGAACCCTCCCCAGGGGAGTTTTTGAAGCTGGGTGAGGGCACTGCCACAGAGGAGCAGGAAGCAGCTTGGTGAGGCAGTCCTGGGGCTTGGGTCGGAACCTGTCGTGACGTCATAATGGGCTCTTGGCTGGAATAATGCCTGGGTTCTACTCTTTCTCCTTGGTGTCCAGGGTTCCTCGGGGTGCCCCTCGAAGTTCTGTGAGGTTCTGATATGGAAGGAAGGACCCAATGTCTTGTTTCCAAACCACACAAAGTACAATTCCTGACCACATAATGTTAACCTTCTACCTCTACCTCTGGTTTTGCTCCCAGCAGCTGCTGATTCTTGGCAGAACCCCAGAAGTGAGAGTTGGAAGCTGATTTTAAATTCCATCATTCCCTTTTATTGAAGCCATGTTGTCAGTTCTTCAGACGTTAACTGATCGTTCCAGCCCCTTGAAGGGTTGTCGGTGGCATGAAGTCAGTGGTGGGCATGAGAGTTCTTGTGAACACTGTGAAGTAGGATGTGACCGCAGGGGCTTAGGGCATTCCAGAGAATCAACTGCTTTTCCTTTCCACAGTTAAGAGAGTATCAGCGGAAGAACAGGCCTGGTGGTCCTGCAGGAGGAAAAAAGAAGAAAAACCTTAAAAACGGCAGTAGCCCTGAGACAACCACTTCTCGGGGTTGTCACTCAACTGAGGATGTGAGTCTTGGCTGGCCAGGCTGCTGGGGGCTCGGGGGCTAAGGGGCAATGGGGAAAGGGGGGTTGGGGTTGGGGATCCAGAGGACAGTGGAAGATGGAGGAAGGGAGTGTTAGATACTGGTCAAGGATTCTGGGTCTGAATGCTCCCTTTCCCTCTGCTAGGGATATGATGTAAGGCAAACTGTTCAAGCTTTCTGGGCCTCTCTCTCCACATCTGTAAAATAGATAGGGCTGATGTTTTACTTACAAAGTTTGAGAGTTTTTGCTATTCTCGTATTAATCCAGAATACAGGGTCTTGTAACATTCATAGTCGCTGGTATTTGCGACTTCCTCATCCCTGGCCTCAGGAAAAGCCAGGTCAGTGAGAGCAGCCCGGCCATCAGGCTGTCCCCTTAGGAAGCCCCAGGCACTGGGATTTGGCCTTGGCTCTGGCTGACCTCAGAAAAGTCGCAGCCTCCCCTGGGCTTCCGTTTCAGGCTGTCAGATATTATTGGATTGGAACAGTGTCTTCTAATTGTTGAGCTGTAGCCTCTCTTGTTCAAGAGAACCCTTCTGCAGAAGTCTGGTTTTAACATAGAGAGTAGGGGTCGTGTCTGGGGGAGGGTCTGAGAGCCGTGCTGGTCAGTTACTGCGCTTCATGTGACTCTGGGGCCTGGGGACTTTTCCCTCTGTCTGGCGAGGCAGCAATGGCCAGTCTGAGAGGATGGCCTGGGGGCCATGGTGTGGATCTCTACTCTTCCTCAGCCTCCATTTCCTGACTCCACCTCTTCCTTCCCCGACATCCTCGCCTCTCTCTAAGCCACGTCTCTGTGTCTTCCCTGCCCTTGTTTTCCCCTTTTCACCGCCTCTAGATGCAGGACATACTGAAGGTGCTGGTGTCTGACTTTAACCGTTCTGATGGGGTAGCGCTGCCCCATAGGACAAGTGGAAGGGGAGGCAGTGCTGAGACCCCCCCTCTCTGGCTTGCTGCCTCCCAAATGTGCATGTCCCTGAGGCTTGTCTCATTTGGTGCAGACTCTGCCTCTGGCTTGTTTTAAGTTGCTGCCATTAACCCTCGGCCTGCTTATGTCTGCTTCCTCCCCTGCTTGGCTAATTGCATTTTTTCCCTTCCCTTGTGTCTTTTGTCATCTTGGAGAGGGTAAGGCACACCTCAAAGATTCAGTAATTTGGGAATAACTTCCAGAGCAGGTCTGTGGGGTTTTGGGCTTTGAATGCCCAGTGCGGTCAGACCAGGGGAGATTTGAAAAAATACAAATGCTGTTACATTTTGCCCTCTGGGCAAGTAGACCAGATGGAAGTGAGTGATTTTTCAACTTGATGAATTCCATTTGGGTTTGAAAGTGAGAAGGTAGAATTAAGAGAAAATGAATTGGCTTTATAATCACAAGGATGGAGGTTAGCTTTTCAGAGGAACTAACCAGCAAGGATGTGAAGCTACCCAGACAGACCAGTGCTAGGACACTCTGCCTGCCCCTCGTCTCTTTGACAAATCAGATGGGGCACTCAACCATGTTCACTGGGCCCATTGATGGCAAAGGCATTGGATGCACAGTGTTGGAAGTAGAAGAACAAGACAGGAGGTGCCATGGGGGTGGCAGAGTCCTCTGAGGGGGCAGGGGAAAGGTGGCAATAGGCCAGCTGCGTGGCTAGGTGAGGGAGGTGGGTTCCAAATGGACTTGCGGCTGGAGAAGGTGGCGTTTGAGGCCAGTGTGAAGATTAAAAGTGGGTAATATTCATCCACCTGGCGAGTGGGGGAGGCAGAGGGAGCAATGAGGTCATAGGCAGCATCGTGAGGTCATAGAACACCTTTCAGGGCTGCAGGGAGCCTGAGTTGGGGGAGGGGCAGGGCACAGGCACACGGGGCTAGGTAGGCCATAACATGCAGATAATGATGCCAGGGCCTTCAGCCAAGCCAGTGTAGCAGGGCTGATCTGGAGATGGGCCTAGGGAAAGGGACAGGTGGCTGGTCAACCATCACGGCAGCTCCCACCCAGGAAGGTCTGGCTAGGGGCCATGATCACTCTGCGTCCTCAGAGGAGACAACAAATGGCATAGCCTGGGCAGGGCACAGGCATGGAGAAGTCCTGAGAGCTTAATATTTGACTTCGAGTAGCTCAGTGTACTTGAGCCATCACAGTGTCTCCAAGGGTTGGCATGAGGAGGAAGCTGGGGTCAGAGCTGGAGCTAGGATCGGGCTCAGGCACTCTGAAGCTAGGTGGAGGCTTCTCATCTGGTGTCCTGACACCCAGGCGAAGCTATACCTTCAGACTGAAAGCCAGGTTCAGACTGAAAGCCAGATTCAGGCTTCTCATCTGGTGATCTGACGCCCAGAAGAAGCTCCACCTTCAGACTGAAAGCCAGGTGCACGCTACCCATCTGGTGTCCTGACACCCTAGCAAAGCTGCACCTCCAGACGTGAAGCCAGGTGCAGACCTTCAGACTGAAAGCCAGGTTCAGACTGAAAGCCAGGTGCAGGCTTCTCATCTGGTGATCTGACACCCAGGTGAAGCTCCACCTTCACACTGAAAGCCAGGAGCAGCCTTCTCATCTGGTGTCCTGACACCCAGGCGAAGCTCCCCCTTCAGACTGAAAGACAGGTAAAGACTTCTCATCAGGTGTCCTGAAATCCAGTTGAAGCTCCACCTTGAGACTGGATGCGAGGTGCAGGCTTCTCATCTGATGTCCTGAACCCCAGCCGAGCTCCACATTCAGACTGAAAGCCAGGTGCAGGCTTCTCTTCTGGTGTCCTGATGCCCAAAAGAAGCTCCTCCTTCAGGTGAAAGCCAGGAGCAGGCTTCTCATCTGGTGTCCTGACACCCAGTTGAAGCTCCCCCTTCAGACTGAAAGCGAGGTGCAGGCTTCTTATCTGGTGTCCTGACACCCAGGCAAAGCTACACCTTCAGACTGAAAGCCAGGTGCAGGCTTCTTATCTGGTGTCCTGATGCCCAGGCGAAACTCCACCTCCAGACGTGAAGGAGGTTCACGCTTCTATTCGGGTGTCCTGACGCCCAAGTGAAGCTCCCCCTTCAGACTGAAAGCGCGGTTCAGCCTTCTCATCTATTATCCTGATTCCCAACAGAAACTCCCTCTTCAGACTGAAAGCGAGGTGCAGGCTTCTCATCTGGTGTCCTAACACCAAAGCAAAGCTGCACCTTCAAACTGAAAGCAAGGTGCAGGCTTCTCATCTGGTTTCCTGACATTCAGGCGAAGATCCACCTTGAGAGGTGATGCAAGGTGGAGGCTTCTCATCTGGTGTCCAGACACAAGGCGAATCTCCACCTCAAGACTATTAGCGAGGTTCAGGCTTCTCATCTGGTTTCCTGACACCCAGGTGAAGCTCCCCCTTCAGACCCGATGGGAGGTACAGGCTTCTCACCTGGTGTCCTGATACCCCGGCGAAGCTCCACCTTCAGAAGAAAGCCAGGTGCAGGCATCTCATTGGGTGTCCTGACACCGAGACGAAGCTCCACCTTCAAACATGATGCGAGGTGCAGGCTTCTCATCTGGTGTTCTGACGCCCAAGTGAAGCTCCCCCTTCAGACTGAAAGCCAGTGCAGGCTTCTCATCTGGTGTCCTGATGCCCAGGCGAAGCACCACCTTCAGACTGAAATCCTGGTGCTGGCTTCTCATCTGGTGTCCTGACACCCAGACGAAGCTCCACCTTCAGACGTGATGCGAGGTGCAGGTTTCTCATCTGGTATCCTGACACCCTGGCAAATTCCACCTCCTGATGTGAAGCCAGGTGCAGGGTTCTCATCTGGTGTTCTGACACCCATTCGAAGCTCCCACTTCAGACTGAAAGCCAGGTGCAGGCTTCTCATCTGCTGTCCTGACACCCAGCCGAGCTCCACATTCAGATGGAAGGCAAGGGACAGGCTTCTGACCTGCTGTCCTGACACCCAGCCGAGCTCCCCCTTCAGACTGAAAGCCAGGTGCAGGCTTCTCACCTGCTGTCCTGACACCCAGGCGAAATTCCACCTTCAGAATGAAAGCCAGGTGCAGGCTTCTCATCAGGTGTCCTGACACCCAGGTGAAGCTCCACCTCCAGATGTGAAGGAGGTTCAGGTTTCTAATATGGTGTCCTGATGCCCAGGTGAAGCTCGCCCTTCAGTCTGAAAGAGAGATGCAGGCTTCTCATCTGGTGTCCTGACATCCATGCGAAACTCCATCTTCAGACTCAAAGCCTGGTGCAGGCTTCTCATCTGGTGTCGTGACACCCAGGTGAAGCTCCACCTTCAGTCTGAAAGCAAGGTGCTGGCTTCTCATCTGGTGTCCTGACGCCCTGGCGAAGCTCCACCTTCAGTCTGAAAGCCAGGTGCTGGCTTCTCATCTGTGTGTCCTGACACCCAGGTGAGCTCACCTTCAGACTAAAAGCAGGTGCAGGCTTCTCATCTCATGTGCTGACACCCAGGCGAAGCTCCAAATTCAGTCTGAAAGCCAGGTGCTGGCTTCTCATCTGGTGTCCTGACGCCCTGGTGAAACTCCACCTTCAGACTGAAAGCCAGGTGTAGACTTCTCATCTGGTGTCCTGACACCCAGGTGAGCTCCACTTTCAGACTGAAAGCGAGATGCAGGCTTCTTATCTGGTGTCCTGACACCCAGGCGATACTCCAACTGCAGATGTGAAGTGAGGTTCTGGCTTCTGATCCGGTGTCCTGAACCCAGGCAAAGCTCCACCTGCATACTGAAAGCCAGGTGCAGGCTTCTCATCTGGTGTCCTGACACACAGGCGATATTCCACTTGCAGACGTGAAGCGAGGTTCTGGCTTTCAATCGGGTGTCCTGACATCTAGGTGAAGCTCCACATTCAGACTGAAAGCCAGAAATAGGCTTCTCATCTGGTGTCCTGACACCCAGTCGAAGCTCCACCTTCAGACTGAAAGCCAGGTGCAGGCTTCTCATCTGATGTCCTGACACCTAGGCGAAGCTCCACCTTCAGAAGTGATGTGAATTGCAGGCTTCACATCTGGTGTCCTGACACCCAGGCGAATCTCAACCTCCATACATGAATGAGGTTCAGGCTTCTAATGTGGTGTCCTTACGCACAGGTGAAGCTCCACCTTCAGACTGAAAGCCAGGTGCAGGCTGCTCATCTGGTTTCCAGAGAAACAGGCAAAGCTCCACCTTTATAGGTGATGAGAGGTGCAGGCTTCTCATCTGGTGACCTGATGCCCAGATTAAGCTCCCCCTTCAGACTGAAAGCCAGGTGCAGGCTTCTCATCAGGTGTCCTGAAATCCAGTTGAAGCTCCACCTTGAGACTGGATGCAAGGTGCAGGCTTCTCATCTGATCTCCTGACCCCCAGCCGAGCCCCACATTCAGACTGAAAGCCAGGTGCAGGCTTCTCTTCTGGTGTCCTGATGCCCAAAAGAAGCTCCTCCTTCAGGTGAAAGCCAGGAGCAGGCTTCTCATCTAGTGTCCTGACACCCAGTCGAAGCTCCCCCTTCAGACTGAAAGCGAGGTGCAGCCTTCTTATCTGGTGTCCTGAAGCCCAGGCAAAGCTACACCTTCAGACTGAAAGCCAGGTGCAGGCTTCTTATCTGGTGTCCTGATGCCCAGGCGAAACTCCACCTCCAGACGTGAAGGAGGTTCACGCTTCTATTCGGGTGTCCTGACGCCCAAGTGAAGCTCCCCCTTCAGACTGAAAGCGCGGTTCAGCCTTCTCATCTATTATCCTGATTCCCAACAGAAACTCCCTCTTCAGACTGAAAGCGAGGTGCAGGCTTCTCATCTGGTGTCCTAACACCAAGGCAAAGCTGCACCTTCAAACTGAAAGCAAGGTGCAGGCTTCTCATCTGGTTTCCTGACATTCAGGCGAAGATCCACCTTGAGAGGTGATGCAAGGTGGAGGCTTCTCATCTGGTGTCCAGACACAAGGCGAATCTCCACCTCAAGACTATTAGCGAGGTTCAGGCTTCTCATCTGGTTTCCTGACACCCAGGTGAAGCTCCCCCTTCAGACCCGATGGGAGGTACAGGCTTCTCACCTGGTGTCCTGATACCCCGGCGAAGCTCCACCTTCAGAAGAAAACCAGGTGCAGGCATCTCATTGGGTGTGCTGACCCGAGACGAAGCTCCACCTTCAAACATGATGCGAGGTGCAGGCTTCTCATCTGGTGTTCTGACGCCCAAGTGAAGCTCCACCTTCAGACTGAAAGCCAGTGCAAGCTTCTCATCTGGTGTCCTGACGCCCAGGCGAAGCTTCACCTTCAGTCTGAAAGCCAGGTACAGACTTCTCATCTGGTATCCTGACACCCAGGCAAAGCTCCACCTTCAGACTGAAAGCAAGATGCAGGCTTCTCATCTGGTGGCCTGACAACCAGGGGAAGTTCCACCTCCAGACATGAATGAGGTTCAGGCTTCTGATGTGGTGTCCTGACGCCCAGGTGAAGCTCCACCTTCAGACTGCAAGCCAGGTGGAGGCTTCTCATCTGGTGTCCTGACACCCATTCGATACTCCACCTGTAGACCCGAAGTGAGGTTCTGCCTTCTAATCTGGTGTCCTGATATCTAGGCGAAACTCCACATTCGAACGGAAAGCCAGGTGCAGGCTTCTCATCTGGTGTCCTGAACCCAGGGGAAGCTCCACCTTCAGTCTGAAAGCCAGGTGCAGACTTCTCATCTGGTGTCCTGACACCCAGGTGAAGCTCCACCTTCAGACTGAAAGCGAGATGCAGGCTTCTCATCTGGTGTCCTGACACCCAGGTGAAGCTCCCCCTTCAGACTGAAAGCCAGGTGCAGGCTTCTCATCTGGTGGCCTGACAACGAGGCGAAGTTCTACCTTGAGACTGAAAGCCAGGTGCAGGCTCATCTGGTGTTCTGACACCAAGGTGAAGTTCCACCTCCAGACGTGAAGGAGGTTCAGGCTTCTAATCTGGTGTCCTGACGACCAGGTAAGCTCCCCCTTCAGACTGAAAGCCAGGTGCAGGCTTCTCATCTGGTGTCCTGACACCCAGCCGAAGCTCCCCCTTCAGACTGAAAGCCAGGTGCAGGCTTCTCATCTGGTGTCCTGACACCCAGGCGAAGAACCACCTGCAGATTAAAAACTTGGTGCAGGCTTCTCATCTGATATCCTGACACTTAGGCGAAGCTCCACATTCAGAAGTGATGTGAAGTGCAGGCTTCTCATCTGGTGTCCTGACGCCCAGGCAAAGCTACACCTTCAGAATCAAAGCCAGGTGCTGGCTTTTCATCAGGTGTCCTATGGCCACGAGAAGCTCCACTTTCAGACTGAAAGCAAGGTTCAGGCTTCTCATCCATTATCCTGATTCCCAACAGAAACTCCCCCTTCAGACTGAAAGCGAGGTGCAGGCTTCTCATCTGGTGTCCTATGGCCACGAGAAGCTCCACTTTCAGACTGAAAGCGAGGTTCAGGCTTCTCACCTGGTGTCCTAACACCAAGGCAAAGCTGCACCTTCAGACTGAAACCCAGGTGCAGGTTTCTCATCTGGTGTCCTGAAACCCAGGCGAAGCTCCACCTTCAGACTGAAAGTGAGGTGCAGGCTTCTCATCTGGTTTCCTGACATTCAGGTGTAGCTCCACCTTCAGAGGTGATGCAAAGTGGAGACTTCTCATCTGGTGTCCAGACACCAGGCGAATATCCACCTCAAGACGATTAGCGAGGTTCAGGCTTCTCATCTGGTTTCCTGACACCCAGGTGAAGCTCCCCCTTCTGACGCGATGGGAGGTGCAGGCTTCTCATCGGGTGTCCTGACACCGAGACGAAGCTCCACCTTCAAACATGATGCGAGGTGCAGGCTTCTCATCTGGTGTTCTGACGCCGAAGTGAAGCTCCACCTTCAGACTGAAAGCCAGGTACAGGCTTCTCATCTGGTGTCCTGACGCCCAGGCAAAGCTCCACCTTCAGACTGAAAGCGAGGTGCAGGCTTCTCATCTGGTGTCCTGACACCCAGGCAAAGCTCCACCTTCAGACTGAAAGCGAGGTGCAGGCTTCTCATCTGGTGTCCTGACACCCAGGCGAAGCTCCCCCTTCAGACTTAAAGCGAGGTGCAGGCTTCTTATCTGGTGTCCTGACACCCAGGTGATACTCCAACTGCAGATGTGAAGCGAGGTTCTAGCTTCTGATCTGGTGTCCTGAACCCAGGTAAAGCTCCACCTGCATACTGAAAGCCATGTACAGGCTTCTCATCTGGTGTCCTGACACCCAGGCGAAGCTCCACCTTCAGACTGAAAGCCTGGTGCAGGCTTCTCATCTGGTGTCCTGACACCCAGGCGAAGCTCCACATTCCGTTTGATGTGCGGTACAGTCTTCTCATCTGGTGTCCTCAAACCCAGGGGAAGCTCCACCTTCAGACTGAAAGCCATGAGCAGTCTTCTCATCTGCTGTCCTGACGCCCAGCTGAGCTCCACCTGCATACTGAAAGCCAGATACAGGCTTCTCATCTGGTGTCCTGACACCGAGGCGAAGCTCCATCTTCAGACGTGAAGAGAGGGACAGGCTTCTGATCTGGTGTCCTGATACCCAGGTGAAGCTCCCCGTTAAGAATCAAAGCCAGGTGCAGGCTTCTCATCTGGTGTCCTGACGCTCAGGGGAAGCTCCACCTTCAGACTGAAAGCCAGGAGCAGGCTTCTCATCTGGTGTCCTGACACCGAGGCGATACTCCAACTAAGATGTGAAGTGAGGTTCTGGCTTCTCATCTGGTGTCCTGAACCCAGGGGAAGCTCCACCTGCATACTGAAAGCCAGGTACAGGCTTCTCATCTAGTGTCCTGACACCCAGGCGATATTCCACTTGCAGACTTGAAGCGACATTCTGGCTTTTAATCTGGTGTCCTGACATCTAGGTGAAGCTCCAAATTCAGACTGAAAGCCAGATTCAGGCTTCTCATCTGGTGTCTTGGCACCCAGGTGAAGCTCCACCTTCAGACTGCAAGCCAGGTGCAGGCTTCTCATCTGGTGTCCTGACACCCATTC